ATATATATATATATATATATGTTTTTTTTTATTCCTGTATGTATAATATTGTATTGGGATTATATTGTACTTTGATAACAATAAAATAATTTTTACATTAAAAAAATAGTTTTTACAACCTTAATGGACGCCATCTTGGAATTTATCATGATGACGTCATCATTCCGATCAATTTTTTTAATGAGAGTGAAGAGTAACTATTTAGCCAAGTTGTTGTTACATTTCATATCCACAGTATATGTAAAAGTGACCAAAAACATAAATTTCTTTCCCCTACCCCCATCTTAAATAGTTTAAAATATGGTATTTTAGGTCAAAATTTCAAAGTGCTGTAAAAAAAATTGCCCAAGCCTTAGGCATGGGGATTTTTTTTCTGAGACACTATAGGCTATGCTGATTCAGAAAAACCAAAAATTAATTTTCCTTTACTTTTTTCTTGCTAAAGTTCATTTCAGCAGTTTTACAACCAGACTATACATGGACAGCATTGTTTGTTGGTGGATCCCCTCTTGTTATTGTCAGAATCATCATCTTTTTTTTTTCTTATTCTTTCTTTCTCCCCTTTTCTGTTCGCAAGATATCTCAAAATTGCCGAGAGCTACGCACATGTCCACTTCAGCAAACATTTGGCTTGGCCTGGAAAAGTCATTAAGCTTTTCAATGCGCTCGGGGATGCGTGACGTCATCTACGTGCAATTTTGCGTTTTTACATTATCGGTCATTTTGAAATTGAGTGAGCATTAACTTCAGGTTAATGTTGAATGTAATGTACCTTAATTGTACGTGTGCACTTCATAACGAGCGCGCATGTCTGCGTTAAATTTTCAAAATGCTCAAAATCACTTTTTGAGTTAATTAGAGCATGTTTCATGCCATTTTGAGCATATTTAATTTTTTTGAAATTTTCCACTACGCGCAAGCATTTTAACGCACGCAGCACGAACGGAAGCTATAAATTACATTTTTTTTACATATTTTGGGTTCCTGACAGACATTTCCAATTTTTTAAATTATCTATTGGCCAATAACAATGCCGTACACATGCATCAAACATAGTGAACTTTGCTTGCGTTTGTGACGATATACAGTAAAATTATGCTAAAATCAGGCCTATTTTTAATCAGTTATAGCTCCTTAGGATGAAAGGTGAGCCCAAATTTGTATTACATTTTCTGAAAGCACGTGAGTTGTAAATATGATTTTATAGATCATAATGGCTGATCGGACATTGTGACATCATCATATTGCCATCTGAATTCAAAGAACTGAATTTTATCTATGACGTCATTTTTGAAAATACGCATTTGAGCGTATCTCACTTATCCTTGATCGATCATCTCCCAACTTTGAGTATGTTATAGCTGAGACAATTCTCCTTCATATATGTGACTTCTTACATTTTGATGACGTCATCATGGTCAAAATAAATGTTTTTTCTGTCCCCTTCATCTTTCTTTCCTCAAAACTTTGATGAATCATATTAAAAGGGCATACACTTTAGGTCAATGTTGAATGTCAGGTACCTTAATTTTCCGTTCGCACGTCTTAACGTGCGCGTACGCGTATGTCAATTATATATATGCATCGAAATTATTCCTTTTTTTAATCAGTTATAGGTCCTTAGGATGAAAGGTGACCCCCCAATTTTTATTACATAAACTTGCACATGAGTTGTAGATATGATTTTATAGATCATTATGGCTGATCAGACATTGTGACGTCATCATATTGCCATCTGAATTCAAATTACACTTGACAAGGTACAATTTCGTGTGCCATCAATTTTATACCTGATACTGTGGTTTGGATAAGGTTTTACAGACACAGAATAGAATTGTGTTGTGGTTTGATAATAACAAACTTGATACTTGACATGATAATCCTTTTACAGTACGGTATAGTGAAACCATTGTTGGCTCCGACCCATAGTTAATGTAGGGCCCACCGGACAAGTCAAGCCACCCCCCCCCCCAAAATTAAACAGAACTCGTTGGGCAGTTGGACGAAAAAAAATATAAGATTAGGCCCATGCCAAGCCAACACATGTCTGTCACACTCTGAGTGTCATTTCTGGCCATCCAGAGGTTCCTATTCTTAAAAAAATCTCATTTAGAAGGGGAACACCTTCACAAAATCTTCAACAAGTTCTGGTCCACGAGCTCTAGTTCCCCCTTTCGGACAGCTTGGCCCCCAGAAAATATATCCTACAGCCGCCACAGCTATTACACCCTTTTATCATAGGCACTAAACAAGCAGAACAAAAAAAAATTACCTGATGCCAGGATTAATTATAAAATAATAATAATAATAATATTAATAATAATGATAATAATAATAATAATAATAATAATAATAATTTTGGCTTAAATAGCGCATTATGCTAAAGCCTTGATGCGCTTAACAATAAAAATGAAACTGCCGGATTAACACTTGAGGTCTCTCTGGTTTCTTTAGTTGCCATGTTTACATCACCGCAAATACAGTAGTGCAATATTTCACGAATGGCTGCATAGGAACCTTAGCCCTCGCAGAGGGCTATTCTGTATTCTGTATTCTGGCTATTCTGTATTTTGTTTTGTATTTTTGTTCTCTTTCTAGGAGATGTATTTTGAATGAAATTGAAAATTGAAATTAGTTATTAATTAACTGATTGAACTGGGGTCCCTTCTTTCAATACGAACATGACAGCTCTCTCGCTCAAGCGTCACACGGAGCATCTGTGTGAAGCATTGGGCATTTAGAACTGTCCATTTTTCCAGCGGGGGTATAAATATTATTTTATCATATAGTGAAGATCAGTGGATTATACGCATATTGTAGGAGAATGCTTCACTGGATAGAGACAATGGTTTAGCCTTTCTTTTCCCCTTAGGGGGTTCCCACCGAATATTTACATACAAAAATGTAGTTGCATAAAATCCATGCAAATTCAATTAATAAACATTGTTTTATCAAATGTAAATATGATATAGCTTTAGATTAATGCAAGGTCTGGTAGATTTTGATTACTTTTTGTCGCTAAAATTAATTTTTGCAGCGAAAATATAAAGCACTTTCATAGCATAATAACATAAAAAATAAATTACTCTGTTATTTTCCTTGGATTTCGTGCGATCGTGTTTTGAAACTTTGTAGGGTATTTCCCAAATATTTTTTTACAAACGCAAGTCAGCTCGCCGGCTTCTACACCTCTTTTTCTACACCATATTTTGTCAATATCATTAAAAAATATATGCAACACACATAATAGGTTATTTACTGTAATAAGGATGAGAAAATTTACCTGACCATTTCATATGGGAGGAATTCTAGAATTTTGAAGAACTTGAGTCATTCAAATAGAACTCAGAATTTAGTAAAGCATATTTGCTACCATCTAAGAATCAAAATTTTCCCAGAGGAGGTCCACCAGACTTTCTTTCTTTTTGGGGTTTTATGAAAATATTTTGACCCCCCCCCCCCAAGTTTGAACCGTGTTCTGTAATTTATATGCTATATATCTCTCATTTTTATATGCTGTCATCACAACTAAAACTTTATCTCTTTTATGTACATTGAAGTTTGAAGCTGTTTTTTCAATTACTGTATGCTATTTGCTGATACTAAAATTGTTCATATAATAATAATAATAATAATAATAATAATTTTGGCTTAAATAGCGCATTATGCTAAAGGCTTAACAATAAAAATGAAACTGCCAGATTAACACTTGAGGTCTCCCTGGTTTCTTTAGTTGCCATGTTTACATCACCGCAAATACAGTAGTGCAATATTTCACGAATGGCTGCATAGGAACCTTAGCCCTCGCAGAGGGCTATTCTGTATTCTGTATTCTGGCTATTCTGTATTTTGTTTTGTATTTTTGTTCTCTTTCTAGGAGATGTATTTTGAATGAAATTGAAAATTGAAATTAGTTATTAATTAACTGATTGAACTGGGGTCCCTTCTTTCAATACGAACATGACAGCTCTCTCGCTCAAGCGTCACACGGAGCATCTGTGTGAAGCATTGGGCATTTAGAACTGTCCATTTTTCCAGCGGGGGTATAAATATTATTTTATCATATAGTGAAGATCAGTGGATTATACGCATATTGTAGGAGAATGCTTCACTGGATAGAGACAATGGTTTAGCCTTTCTTTTCCCCTTAGGGGGTTCCCACCGAATATTGACATACAAAAATGTAGTTGCATAAAATCCATGCAAATTCAATTAATAAACATTGTTTTATCAAATGTAAATATGATATAGCTTTAGATTAATGCAAGGTCTGGTAGATTTTGATTACTTTTTGTCGCTAAAATTAATTTTTGCAGCGAAAATATAAAGCACTTTCATAGCATAATAACATAAAAAATAAATTACTCTGTTATTTTTCTTGGATTTCGTGCGATCGTGTTTTGAAACTTTGTAGGGTATTTCCCAAATATTTCTTTACAAACGCAAGTCAGCTCGCCGGCTTCTACACCTCTTTTTCTACACCATATTTTGTCAATATCATTAAAAAATATATGCAACACACATAATAGGCTATTTACTGTAATAAGGATGAGAAAATTTACCTGACCATTTCATATGGGAGGAATTCTAGAATTTTGAAGAACTTGAGTCATTCAAATAGAACTCAGAATTTAGTAAAGCATATTTGCTACCATCTAAGAATCAAAATTTTCCCAGAGGAGGTCCACCAGACTTCCCTTTCTTTTTGGGGTTTTATGAAAATATTTTGACCCCCCCCCCCCCAAGTTTGAACCGTGTTCTGTAATTTATATGCTATATATCTCTCATTTTTATATGCTGTCATCACAACTAAAACTTTATCTCTTTTATGTACATTGAAGTTTGAAGCTGTTTTTTCAATTACTGTATGCTATTTGCTGATACTAAAATTGTTCATTGCTGAGAAACCGTTCCCTTCAAATGACTTGTTGCTGTTACTATAAATTTTTACACTATTCTACAGTGGGTTATTTATACAATTTTTGAAAAAATAAATGTTTTGATATTAAACATTTTTCATTTTTTATCTTTTTTTTTAGTTTAAATACTACAAATGTACTAATTCTAATTTTGAGTGGCTTGGCTGGATTTGTGACACCAAGGATTGGAGGTAAGAAATCATTATCCTCACATTTTAATGTATACATATATACATATATATCAGTGGCATAGTAGAGGAGGTTTCAGTATTAAGGTATTGGTCTAATACCCTCAACATTTAAAAAATATGTTTTTATGCTCTTACTGTTTCTACAAAATAATGAAAACAGAGAAATTTAGTATTATTTTGCAGATTTAGTGAGCTAGTTTTCATTCCATAGAAAGGGGATTAATAAAGTAATTGTTAATACCTTACCGGCGTACAGAGGTATGTGACATCAGTGAGGTAAAAATACTGAATGTCATAGTCTTTTTAGCGTGAATAAGATAGGACTTCAGTTGGTTTGCTAGCTAGCTAGGCCTATGCTGTAAGACAGCCAGCAATGAGGTATGTCAACGCTGCACTATTATATCAGTAATTTTATGGCAATGATGATCTGGTCAATGTAGGCCTAGGAGGAGCATATCTAGGGCTATGCTAGTTTAGATGCACAGGAAGAATACAGTAGGCTTACCTAGGCTTAGTTAGGGAAATGTGGCACAGTTGGACTATTTTAAAAGCATAGTGGTGGATCCGGATTGCGGGTGGGAGAGGGGGTTTGAGCGAGGTTTGGAAAGCCACCCTCGCTTACCCCAAGCTCTCCCTCGCGTTACTCTGGGAAAAAAATCTGCATCTACCTCTGTTGTGTAGTGGTAGAGGAAACTACTACTAGTGACCAAATGACCTTACAAACCCCCTCCCGGCCTGGAAACTAATACCTCTTAATTTCCTTATGCCGCTATATACTGTATATATATATATCACAAGTTGCATTCATATGGGAAATTAGCTTAAATATGCAAAATTAGGGCCAGCCCTCTTTTTGATTGGAAGCACTACTTTAACAGTAGGCTAGACAATCTGAACATCTTTTATAAATGAACATATGTGATAATGGGGATAAAACTGCAGAAATCACACCATCGTCACATGGCGTGTACATATGCAAATTAGCCTAATTATGCCAAAAAATAGTCACGCCCCTTTTAAATTTTGAAGAGCCACCTTAAACGGTAAGCTAGACAATCTGAACACACAAACAAGAGTTCTTTTATATATGAACATATGATTGGTGGATAAAGTTTCAGAAATCCACCATGGTCACGTCTTGTTTATATGTAAATTATTGTAAATATTTCACGAAATAGAGGCAACAGCTCTTTTTAAAATACTTTCAACAGTAGGCAAGACAATCTGAATATTCTGCAAATAAGAGGGGTTTTCTTTTTTTATAAATGAACACATGATGAGATGAAATTTCAAAATTTCATATGCAAATTAGCTTAAATATACGGAAGGTTAAAGTGACCTTCCAGATGTCTAGATAATTATATCGTCATGTCTACATCCTGTAGGAAAGGAGACCAAATGTTGCGATTCTGGATCTCCTTATGTCTACATTTTTCAGAAGAGATAATCACATGACGGGATGCTAGATCTCGTCATGTCTAAATCCTTTAGAAGAGATGATCAGATGACGAGATCCTTGATCTCATCATGTCTACATCCCTTAGAAGAAATGATCAGACTGGATCTTGTCATGTCTACATCCCTCAGAAGAGATGATCACATGAGGAGATCCTGGATATCACCATGTCTACATTCTATTACAACAGATAATTAGATGACGAGATCTTAGACCTCGTCATGTCTACATCCTTTAGAAGAGATGATTAGATTACGAGATCCTTAATTTCTTCATGTCTACATCCTTTAGAAGAGATCATCAGATGACAAGATCCTGGATCTCGTGACGTCTGCATCTTTTAGAAGAGATGATTAGATTACGAGATCCTGGATCTTGTCATATGTTCATCCTTTAGAAGAGATGATTAGATGACGAAATCCTGGATCTCGTCATGTGTACATGCCTTAGAAGCTATGATTAGATGACGAGATCCTGGATCTCGTCATATGTACATCCTTTAGAAGAGATGAGATCCTGGATCTTGTCATGTCTACATCCTGTAGAAATAGATGATCAGATGACAAGATCCAGGATCTCGTCATCTCATTATCTGTTCTACATGATGTAGACATGTTGAAATTATGGATCTAGTCATGTCTACATCCTTTAGAAGAGATGATCTGATGACGAGATCCTAGATCTCGTCATGTGTACATCCTTTAGAAGAGATGATTAGATGACGAGATCCTGGATCTCCTCATGTGTAGATCCTTTAGAAGAGATGATTAGATGACGAGATCCTGGATCTCGTTATGTGTACATTATTTTAAAAAAATGATCAGATGACAAGATCCTGGATCTCATCATCTGAACATCTGGAAGGTCACTATAAGCTTCCGTATAAATATGCAAAATGTACGGTCAGTGTTTAAAGTGCTGCCTTAACTGTAAGCTAGACAATCCGAATGGGACTTGAAAAAAAAGAGGCAAGGCTCCATTTGTATTTGAACGGGACGTGTGAGCAACTTGTGATTTCTGAAATTTTATTCCCTCATCAGTTGTGTTTATTTACGAAAGAAAAACCTTGTTTGCAATATTTTCAGATTATCTAGCCTACTGTTTGGTTCCTAATTAACAATACTGTAGGAACCTTGGCATTCGACTGGTGTGCCTGTGTGTGTGTGTGTGTGTGTGTGTGTGTTGCATTTCAAAAGTTAGTAAACAGGCAAAAATTACTTCCCATAAATCTGTTTTTTGTGTTTTTTTTTCCCAAGCTAAACTGGATATGACGTCATGCCCTATTTATTGGTTTTCTATTTTGACATATATTAAAGCCATAACTAAGGATAGAAAATACCTGCTACTCTTGAAAATCCACAAACCGTAGAGTAAGACAATGGAATGTTGATGAATTTTTCGATGTTTTTTCTGTCGAAAATATGATATATTCGACTCTAGGGATTACCATGGACATACCTTATCCCTGGAAGCCTAGCCAAAACGGTAGTACTGTACTGACAAAAAACATTATAGCGTAGTCCAGCCAAAAATCACCTTCAGCGTGGTATAAGCTCCTACCTCAATGAATTCAAACCGTAGGTCCTTTATATATTGGAAAGATCATATCTTGACAAAAAGTGGGATTTAATGAAAAAAGCAACTTTTATAACCAGTTTTTAGCCGCTTGTCACTGCTCGATTGTTTACCTTGAGAAGTTACATCACAAAGCTTTAATAACGATACGCCATTTCCTGTCCCTACAAAACCTATTAAGCCCCTATCGCACTGGACTTAATTTGGTCAAATTAACCGAGTCACTGGCTAAATTGACCAAAAAAAATCCAATCCGAACGTTGGTTACAATTCCCTCAGGGTTAAATTAACCAAGCCGAATGGTTAATTTTACCGACCTCAGCCTGCCCAGTAAAACTTACCACGGTCTCGGTTAAACTAACCACGTTGTTCAAGAAGTCCAATCCGAACGTGCAACACCGTTAAAACTTCTTCCATGTTGACACCGCTCGAACAAAACCGGAAGTTGAAGTCACAAACTAGCGCCCTCGATAATATTTTTTATACACAAGGTTAAATCTTGATAAAACTATGGTAAAACTAACCGCGTGAATAATCCAAGTGCGGACAATGGTGAAATGTACCCATTACTTTGGTTAATGTTACCCTGGTTAAATTTACCATTTTTTAAATCCAGTGTGCGAACAAGGCTTTAGTTAAATGATACGTTCGCTAATTGCTGCAAAGCAGCCAATTCATATTCTTGACAGCAATTTGGCCTCTGAAAGGTCATTGTTTGTCAAAAAACAAGGGCCTATAAGACGACTGAAAAGCAGAGTTTCCTTCTTTCGTTCTGCCGGGTAAAATCAATTATTTTAGGCGACGTTTGTAGACTAATGTACACGTACCAACGTCCGCATGTCGCGACGCTCGAGTGTTACTATTCAGCATTTTTACTATATTTCTAGGTTTCCTATTTCTACGTTTAATCAGCCCATGTCTCAGCCACAATATTTTGAGGCCAATATTATTTATGAACCCAGTTTAAACTTATTTACTAGCCTATTTCAGCGTGCTAATTATTACATTTAGGCGACGCTTGTTGTAGACTGGCATACACGGTACCAACGTGAGACATCGACTCTGGTGTCCACACGTCAACTGTGAGGCAAGCGAGTCATCGACTCTCGTGTCCACGCGTCAACTGGGAGGCATGACAACCGTAGACGATAGAATGTACGAGGCACGATTGAAACACCATAAAAGCGTTAAAAACAATATTTTAGCATAAATAATAATGTATATAATATGACCATACCTTATAGGTCAATACAAAAATCAAACCATTTCCATACATCAGTTATTTTATTGTCACATGACCCAGGCCCACCCTGACGAGGCGTAGCCAACCCCGAAACAATCATCTGTCAGCGGGCACTCAGCAGAACGCCGATTTCTAGGCCTATACAGGGTTGCCAGATAGTTGGCAGTCTTCAAGACGGCCAAACCCACGCCATCTGAGGGCCAAATTCGCTTAACAATTTTTCGATTTTAGTGATTACACTACTTCATTTAATATACAAAAAAAAACCCATCCTGGAATATAGTCGTTTGTTTGAAATGGAAGAAATAAAATGGACAGAGTTGCAATGTTAATCTGTTTGTTGTTTTTATATTATTCACATCCACAAATTAAATGCCCATCTATATTATTATTATCATTCTCATTATTATTATTATTGTTATAATTATTTATTTATTACCATTTTTAAAAAGGGGGACCTATCCAGTTCCTGCAGGAATTGATCATTAAGAACCCCGATAAAACATAGACAATATGTGAAATATTAAATATTCAAGACATAAAAGTTAAATTGCATGTTCAAATTGTAATCCTATTTCATAAGTGAACAAAAAATTTCTTAAGTGAAAAAACAAAAAAACAAAACAAACTTAATACCTGACTGGATACAGTAATCATTTTGCAGCTTCTATCGGATAATAGACTAACGTGTGTACAGTACGGTAGAGTGAAACCATTGTTGGCTCA